TGGAAGCTATAAGTTTAAAAATATCTTTACTGAGAGTATCTACTCCATCTCCCCACTGGATTCTACCCCCCCTTCCCTCACACCTCTCCTCTTGAGAGGCAGGCAGCCAGGTGCTGTATCTGGGGCCTGAAGTCAAGTGCTTCATTGTGGGATCTCCTAGCTCCCTTGAAGCCAGCTCCAGTGACACGGAGTAGGTACTCTACTGGCACAGCTAAGCTTCTGGAACTGCTGAGCTCTTTCAGTCCTCTGTGTTAGCTTTATGAAGCCAGAAATTCCCCCATGAGGTTGCTAGATGGGGCTGCAAGTACCCTAATCATTACTACCCAAAAGTCTGGGGAACATGGAAGGTGAACTAAGTGGTGTTGGTGGACTGGCCACAGGAGGACTAAGAGCAGTGTGCACGGGCAGGTCTGGTCCTCAGACTATCCCTCTCAAGAGCTGTTCTAGAACATTCCAACACTGGAAACTCCTGGACAGCTACTAGTGAACACTTTTTATTTATTATTTGTTTATTTAATTTTTTATTATTTTACATGCATTGGTGTCATGCCTGAATGTATGACTGTGTGAGGGTGTTGGATCTGTGGACCTGGAGCCACAGACAGCTGGGAGCTGTCATATGGGTGGTGGGACTTGAACCCAGGTCCTCTGGAAGAGTGGCCAGTGCTCTTAACCACTGAGCCATCACTCCAGTTCCCTCAGTGAATACTCTTGAGCATTCAAATGCAGTCTTTAAAAATGATTTGGTTTATTATTTTAGTTGTGTGTAGATGTTTGTGTCTGTGTGTGGGTTTGTGCACCCGAGTGCAGAGGTCGGTGGAAGTATCTGGTCTCCTGGAGCTGGAACTTACGGGTTGTGAACCATTTGACGTGGATGCTGGGAACTGAGCTCAGGTCCTCAACAACAGTAGTACATGCTCTTAACCACTGAGCCATCTCTCCAGACGCTCAGATGAAGTGTTTAAACTGGGTGTTTTAAAGCATTTCCTTGTTTAAAATCTAATTTATTCTCTCAAAGATCCTGGCGGCAACCTCTTCCGTGGATGGTGGGAATTGGGCTGCGATAGGCTGAGAGCTGCTAACTGTTGCTGCCCTAGGGGGAGGGCAGGAGGAAGTGAGGTTTTATTGGGATATTTCCTGGCCCTTGGCCACATCATTGTAACAGCTGGATGTGGGCAGAGAAAGAAGACACCACTGTGCAGTGTGCCCATGTGTCATGCTGGGCCACGCTTCTGGGCTTGTTCAATTCTCCTATCACTCTGTTCCTGAAATCTAGGGACAAAGACTTCAAGGAGGCTCTCCACCCTTCACCCCTGACAAGCCATTGTTTCATGTACTTCCTCAACTCCCAAGTTCTATTTTGGAAATGTGTGGTTCAACAATGATGCAGAAATCCTAACATGGCAGGAAGAAGGGACATGAGAATAAAAAAAGTTTTTATTTTTTTTGTTGTTGTTATTGTTGTTTTGTTTTTGTTGTTGTTGTTTTTTTCGAGACAGGGTTTCTCTGTGTAACAGTCCTGGATGTTCTGGAATGAGCTTTGTAGACCAGGCTGGCCTTGAACTCACAAGAGATCCACCTGCCTCTGCCTCTGGAGAGCTAGAATTAAAAGCGTGTGACACCACTGCCTAGCTAAAAATTATGTTTTATGTTCATGGTCTAGACACAAATACTCCAAAGCTGCTGTGTGATCTTGCACAAGTGACTACCTCTTTCTATGCCTTAGATTTCCGACCTGAAGCCAGGCTTGTGTAGAGCTCTTGGCCTTAGGTTTACTGATATTTGAAACAGACCATTCTGAGGGCTGATAGGCTATTTGGGGGCACTGTACAAGATTTAGAAGCATCCTCAGTGGCTCCCAGAAGACCCAGATGCACCTGCTTCAAGCAGACATTGGCAAGTGTACCCTGTACTGCAAAACCTTTTCTCCCACTGGGCAGGGGATGTGTCTCCCTTTTAATGGCTATGAAATTCAGAAGGGTGCCTTCCCTTTATTTCTTCCCCCCCCCCTCTCCATCTTTGAACTTGATTCTTCTAGGATGAGCAGGTGGGATAAGGCAAGGCCAGGCCTGCTGGTCATATGTTCAATGGTTGTGTTCTTGTGTGATAAAGGCATGAGCTCAAACCTATTCCTCACTTGAAGAGGGTGACACAGGCTCATTTTCTACAAAGTACATCTGGAGTAGAAATGAGGCCAGATACCATGTAGGATCCTGAGGAGGGGCTCAGGACACACAGAGGTTGGTGCTGTCACGAAGATCTCACTTCTCAGTGAGCACTCCTCAAAAAGTTTGGGAATAGGCAAGCAGAAGAAAGAGGAACCAAAAGGTGTCCAGCAAGAGCAGAGACTGGTCACTTGTTCCCCAAACTCTTTTCTCCTCCTCCTCCTATAGATTACATTTCTACTATGGTGGTTTGAATGAAAATGCCACCTCCCCCATGCTGTGTTCCACTCATTGAGTGGCATTATTAGAGGTGTGGCCTTGTTGGAGGAAGTGTGTCACTGGGGGTGGGCTTTGAGGCTTTAGAAGTTCAAGCCAGGCCCACGGTCACTCTCTCCTCCTGCTGCCTGCCAATCTAGAAGTAGACCCCAGCCACCACTCCAGCACCAAGTCTGCTGCATACTGCCCTGCTTCCCACCATGGCAATGGACTGACTACACCTCCGATGCTGCAAGCCAGCCCCAATGAAGTGATTTCCTTTATAAGAGTGCAGGGTGGCAGTGCACAACTTTAATCCCAGCATTCGGAAGGCAAGAGGTAGGTGGATTTTTGAGTTCCAGGATAGCCTGGTTTACAGAGTGAATCCCAGGACAGCCAGGGCTACACAGAGAAACCCTGTCTCCAAAAACAAAAAACAAAAAAAGAAAAAGAAAAAAATGAAGAAAGAAAAGAAAAAAAAAAGAGAAAAAAGAGTTGCCATGGCCATGACATCTATTCACAGTAACAAAACCCTAAGACACTTACTTTCCTTTGATCTTGGATGTGCCAATGTGATTGAGTTCTGGCCGATAGTATATGGACAGCAGGTCACAACTTCTTGGTCCAATAAAACCCAAATCATCTACTCGCATCTTTCATCTCTACAGCCTGGGCCTCTGATTGTCTGCATTGACAGTGCAGACCAGGGCCTGGCTCCACACTCCACTGGGAGCACTTGACATGAGAAATGACATTCTTTTATCTTCAGCATTTACACTTGGGGCTGCTGAGTGTGTAGTTGGCCTACTCTTAAGCAACACAGTAAAGGCTAGAATGGTGGCTATTGAGGTGGCCTATGGAGAGGTTATGAGTGTTTACTTTTTCCGTCTTTTATAAATGAATGTGTATGTGTGTGCGCGCGTGCGTGCACAGTTCATATGTATGGTGACCATCCACAGGAACCCTGTCTTCCTCCTTTGAGGAAGGTCTCTCATTGGCCTTGGAGGTCACTTGGTTGTCCAGAGAGGGCACTAGAGATCCTCCTGTCTCTGCCTTTCCAATACTAGGACTGTCAGTGCCCACCACCTTAGGCTTGAGGTTTTTAAGTGGGCTCTGGGGTTTGAACTCAGGTCCTCATGCTTGCAAAGCAAGGGCTTTACGGACTGAGCCATCCAGCCCCACCCCCAGCCCTGGAGCTTATTTTCATTAAGGAACTACAACACTGATTTCTCTGTTGGTTCTAACAGACCTAGCTCTGCAAGTTATGGAGGCAGCAATTTTAGCTGAACTAAACACATGACCGCACGACTGTGGGAGGTGGTGGCAAGTGCCTAAATGCAGCCTGGCACGAGAGTCAAGCCAGGATGGCTGGGCAGCTTCTGCTGAGCCAGGGTTTCCTCCGAGCTAAGAATAAACAGTAGACACGGGAGTTTTGGCACCAGGTGCTAACTCCAGGCAGAATTGGCTCCAAGCTAGCAGCACAGCCAGTGTACAGCATGGCCACTGGTGAGACCAGGCAAAAGCCTCAAGTCCCCAGGCTGTCCTGGTGGCTCAGCATACCTGGGGACATGTTTTTGAAAGAAGACTAAGAAACCAGGACACAGAGTTCAGATAGGCTGGGAGAGGGACAACACACTTCAGTCTCCTAGCTTGGTGGCCTTGCTGGGGACTAGGATGTAAGAAGCCTTCGAAGGAGGCAGAAGAGTTTGGCTGCAGAGACCAGGCAAGCCCATCCCTCTTGGGAGGAAAATTCCAGATCACAGGCCTACAGGGATGGTGACACGAGATGTGAAGGTCCCTGAGCCATAGAGTGGGTAGAATAAGGGACGTCAATAATGATCTTTCTTCATGCCTCTGATACCCAGCAAAGGCCACACAAGGGAGAAGCTGGTGACTCATAGCAGTTGTTGCTGGGGGCTGTGCAATCTGCCAAGCACAGCTTGGGTGGATGGTTCACTCTGGCCCTCTCTCTCTCCCTCTCTTACTTTGTCCCTCCCTGCGCTAGAGGCAGTGGCAGCTGGCAGCCCTGACTGGGTTGGGGAGGGGGTCCAGTCCTGTAACAGCAAAGGGAAGCCTAGTGGCCTCTTGTCTCAGCTAGTGTCTCCTTCAAGAAGTCCCTTGGCATCCTGGGTCCCAGGGAAAGGCACCAAGCTAGGGGGCTGAGGCCTGTTGTCCCCGTGCCTCTGCCCCAGCTTGTCTAAACTCATTGTCCTGGTTTCTTAGCCCTTTTTCTTCCTGCCTTAGATAGGTGCCTAGGACAATGTGTCTCTGGGCGTGCTGAGCTACTAGTTCCCATGGCTCCGGGAGTTCAGGCTTTAGCCAAATCCCACCAGTGATGCTGCTCTCAGCTTATCCAAGGAAAAGCATCTTGGTGGTGCCTTCTCAGAGGTCAAAGCCTAGCCTGGTCTTCAGAGTCAAGCCAGAGGAACCAGGATTGTCCACAGGGCATCTGCCCTCACCCTGTCAACCTCCTTCTCTTGGATGTCCCACACAGTTCGTACACTTGGGATACCAGACACCCATAAGGATCCCAGGGGAGCACCCCCACCTTCTATATCAAAAATAGAACATTTTGAAAATGTTTTTATTTCATTAAAAAAAAGAGACAGAACTAACAACCCCAAACCACTGGTGGGTACAGGATCACAGGGGCTTAACTGGTGAAACACACAGGGGAGGGGTAGGACAGAGGAGGGGTGGGAAGATGGGCTCAGGCCTCGTGTCCCAGCAGACAGGGAGCCAGATCTGAGACTGTTAGCAGTGGGGCCCAGATCCACTCCCTTTGTCCCACAGGGAGGGCAAGCTGGCAACCAGGGTCCCCAGAGTGAGGCCGATGGTCAGTGGGAGAGAGGTGGTGAGGGCTGGAGCAGCTGAGGTTCTACACCCTGTGTTCTACCCCCATCTCTTCTTCCTTTTCATTCTAGCTCTTTCTCAGTCCCTGGACTGGGCCTGTGTACTCTGCCTGGGACTGGACAAGAGGTAGGATTCATCGGAACACAGCTTTCTCATGTGGGGTCATGGAAACTTCTGGGACCACAGTTGGGAAGGTGGCTTGTGTGGAAGTTTACCATAGGCTGCTTTAGTTCCAGAAGAGACACAAGATAGGTCTTGGGTCTCCCTGGGGGTGGGTGCTTCCTTCAGCCTCGAAAGATGTTACGGTGGTGGTAGAGGGGAGGTGAGGATGGCTAGGGAGGTGGGCAGGGGGAGGGCCAGCAGCAGGGACAGACCACACATTGGGACTCTGGTGCTCACTGCTGTGAATGCTTTGACACACGCCAAGAAGCCAACCTGGCCAGGAGGGGATGGTTTTGAGCAAGTACAAAGGAACCCTGGCATGCCCACATCTCAGCTCACTAGCTCATGGGCCGTTGGCTGGGGCTATGACTTGGGATGTCTTCATTTGGGATGGTGGGGGCAATGGAGGGCAGGCAGGGAAGGACAAATGGAGCTGGGTCTAACTCTGAGTCAGCCTAGGGGGCTCCATGAGCAGGCGACTGAGGTAAGAATTGGCTTGTCACTTCTAAGTGAGACAGTTACCGGGGTCACAGATGACTGTTCAAGATTGGATTAAGAAGTCTCAAAAAGTAAGAAACAATTGATCCTTAGAAAGCACAGGTGTTATAGAAAAGGGGGTGAGTTCCACTTCCTGGAGAGTTCTTTCTAATCTGGGTACCCTCACATGGTTTCTGCTCACCTCAAGAGGGGAAGGGGGAACGGCTGGGCAAACTGTAAAACACAGAACTCATCCTTAATTCAGGCAAAGTTAGAAAGCCCAGGACAGCCCCTTGAAGTCAAATGTCCACGGAGTCCTTCGGGTGTCGGCAGAATAAATTATAACGGCAGGAGTTGGGGGAGGTGTCATTGCTACTTTTTAGGATGAGGAGTTGAGTGCAGCTTGTTCTCCTGCTCTTGTTTTTGTTTTTGTTTTTCCTTCGGTATGCCATGATTCAGAGTCACTTGGAAACACATGCTCTTTCTTTGTTCTTCTTTGTCTCTTCTCACCCTCAGGTCACCCTTTCTTGCACTGAAGTTTGTACATCTGTTGTGGAACACCAGTTTGGAGGTGGGAGTATGGTTCCCCCTCCCAGCAGGGTCCTCTGTTGCTCAGAGGACAGAGTGTTTCCTCAGGCAAGTGGAGAGGGACATAGCCAGAGGCTACATGCCTACCTTTCCTCAGACCCATGGAACCCTCCTGATCTCCTGCCCATGCTGAGCTCGGCAGAAACTTCCAGAAGCAGGCGGGAAAGCCAGCAGAGCCTCTGCCTTTGCCCTAGATTCCTGGTCTCCTGAGGTGGAGAGAAACTGGCCACAGGACAGCTCAAGGCCGAAGCACCAGGTAGCCATAAAACTTTCACTTAGGACAGATGAAGCTTACAACCACAGGCTCCACCGGGGTGCCAGACAGAGGCTGAGAGAGGGAGACACAGAGGGGAATGGAGCGAGGGCTCCAGGACACAGGAACTTCTGGGTAGGAAACAGCTGACAGGAGCCCAGAGGTCCTAGTTCTGGAAGAAGCCTTCCTGTGGCCCAGTGCCCAGGTGAGGGAAAAGGGTTTGACATCTCCTTCTGGCATGACTGGTTTCCAAGAGGCAGGCTGATGCAGCTTCTGGAAAATTCTTGGGCCTCCTGGAAAATTTCAGAGACCCAGAGGGCAGCAATATACCTGTCTTGGGAGAAAGTCAGCCTTCAGTTTCTACCCTAGCCCTGCTTCCTGTCTCCAGGCTTCCTTCACTCTAAGCCAGTCCATGGCATCTTCTGGACGCCAGGGAGGGCTGCCCTTGGCTCCAGTTCACTGTCTATAATCTTAAGGGTCACGCTGTTGCATGTCACACAAACAGCCACTCTGGGGGAGGCCGGTGAGGAGACAGGTGGGCAGGTCACACGGGAGTCGTCCGCCGGTTCAGCATGCTGACATGGAAACCCTCCTTTAGGTCCTGTTGGAAGAAGTCGTGCATCTGTAGGAAGCCGGCATCCTGGTCTGGGCTGTAGCTGGCAGCTGTGGTCACCTTGAGGGGCTCCCTGGACAGTGTGTACATGGACAGCTCACCCATGGGAATGGCCCCAGTGATCTTCAGGCCCACAGGGGACGCATCCCTGGAGGGCGAGGCCTCAGTGGACCTGGAACTGGACCTGGACCGCCGTCGCCGGTACCTGTAGCTCGGCATCCTGGCATAAGGAGAGGAGGAAGAGGGCTTAAGGAATTCCCGCTTGGTCTTAAACCGCAACTCTTTATTTTTCTCAATGTAAATGTTTACAGCCAGGACGCCCACCGTCTCTGCCACAATAAACGACAGGGCTCCAAAGTAAAAAGACCAGCCGTAGTTGTAATGGTTCTTTTTGTCTTCGTCACGTTTGTCACTGGGGTCGCCTGTGTTGCTGGAAATGTAGACGATGATGCCAATGACGTTACTGAGGCCTGAAAGGGAAGTGGGGCAGGGAGACACTAGAGGTCAGACTCATAGCCGTAATGACAGGACAGAGAACAGGCCTCTGAAGGTGGGATGGTGGCCAGTCTTCTCCATGACATTTGTTTATTATGGTAATTTATTTTTATTTTTTGAGGAAAGAGCCTAACGTAGTCCAGGCATGTCCTGAATTCAAGTAACTGAGGATGACCTTGAACTTCCAATGAGTTCTCCACCTCCCAAGTGATGGAGGAAGTGCTTCTGTGTATGTGTTTGTCTTATTGGATGATAAATAAAGTACTGTTTGGCCAATGAGGCAGTGAGGTAGGCGGGACTAGGAGTCATGGAGGATTCTGGGAAATGTAGTAAAGAACTGGTGATTCGCAGGAAGTGACATAGCAGGGAGACTCATATATAAACAAGGGAAGAAGGAAGTGGGCCCCTTCTCTCTTCCTGCAGAGTCACCATGTGATCCCGGGATGAGGACACCAATGGAAGGCATCCTAAATAAGATAAGTCTTATAAAATATATAGATTTATGATAATTGAGACTGAGCTAACAGATGAGAAATCCTAGTCATTGGCCAAGCAGCATTTGTACCTAATATAAGTCTCTGTGTATTATTTGGGGCCCTAACTCAGTGAGCAGAACTCGGGCGGCTGGCAGAAAGCGCCCCTGTGGCGGTAGGGTTCGGGTGGCTTTTGGCGGAAAGATTTATAGCAACACCCAAGCACTGGGATTATAGGCATTATACCTGGCTTGGTAACTAATTTTTCATCTTTTTACCCTTTTTTCAACCCTCCCTCTTTTTTTTCCTTCCTTTCTTTCCTTTTGATTGGATCTCATGTAACCCAGGCTGGCTCAGATCTCCCTAGGTAGCTGAGGCTGGCTTTGAATTCCTGATCCTCATTTAAAAATTATTTTATGTCTATGTGTATTGGTGTTTTGTATGCATGTATGTCTATGTACCACATGTCTGCCTGTAAAGACCAGAAGAGGGCATCAGATCCTCTGGAAGAGTTACAGATGGTTGTGAGCCACAGTGTGTGTGTGTTGGGAATCAAATTCCAGTTCTCTGCAAGAGCAGCCAGTGTCCTTTTTAATTTTTTTTTGCATTCTAATCCCAGTTCTCCTTCTCTCCTTTCCTTTTGCTCCCCTCTCTCCGTGTCCCCCTAACCCACCTCCCGTCCGCTCCTCAGAGAGGGTAAGGCCTCCCCTAGGAAGTCAACTATGTCTGTTCTATCACCTCGTTGAGGCAGGACCAACCCCTCCCCACCATGCCTAGGCTGAGCAAAGTATCTCTCTATAGAGAATGGCAGCGGTGTTCCTAACCATGGAGCCATCTTCCCAGTCAGAACTCTTGATTCTTTTGCCTCCTACTCCCAGCTGTGATTAGAGCTGTGCCCTACCACAGCCAGCTTGGTAGCTACTTTCCCCTCTAAGTCCAGTCACCCCTGGGTGTTTGTGGGAGATAAGTTCTACTTTTTCCAGCAGAACTTGAAATCTGTGGTGACCACACCCCTTAGAATAGTGCAGTATTTACGTAAAACCCACCAACTCCCCAGTACAATTCCACTCCTCTCCAGCTAGCTCGTAACAGCCAACACAATCCTACGCTAAGAAAATGGATGCTACTCTGTCCTTCCCATTCCAGCCCCTCACCTGGCTTCACATGACATGCTCCCTTAGGACTTGGCATCCGGGGAGTCTCCAGATTCTTTTCTGACATCCAACTCAGCCAGCTCCCAACCCTGTTATAGGTTTGGAAAGCACCCAGAACCCAGTACACCTTGGTTGTATTTTGCACACCTGGCACTCTAAGATGAGGTGAAATTCACACACTATCAAATTAACCTTTCTGAAGGACACAATCAATCCAGTGGCATTTAGTGCTCTTAACAATGTGTGCAACCCTTCACAATGTGCGAAACCCTGTTTGTAACACTGTCGTCTCCTCAAAAGGAAACCCCATTAGGCAGTTACTCCCCATCCCTTGCCTCAGCCTCACGTGCCGGTCCTCTTAAAGTTAACCGTGTACTAATTTCAGACTGCCCTCCCACCAGGACTCACACTCCGGACAGTTGAAGGCCATGCGCTCAGGTGTGCCACTATGGCCTCAGCTCCTGCCCCAGGGGGCAGCCCCACTTACCTGCAGCCACAAAGAGGATGCCTGCACTGAGGACAATATTGTTCTTTCGACTGTAGATCCTCCCAGCCCCGATGCAGAGCCCTCCAAGCAGGAGCAGAATGGTGCTGAGGATGGGGAATACACTGGAGGCTCGCACAATGCCTAGGCCAGGGTAGGAACAAAAAAGAGAGGGCAGTGAGTCCAGCCATCTTCCCTGCCGTGACCATGGGTGTATCTCCCAGGAGTCCTGCTGCCGGACATAGGCAAATGATGGCTATAAGTTGGCTGTTTACTCTTCCAGGAGCTGGATGACTATAGTCACATCTGCCTGCAGGTCACTGGGCCTCCTTCTGGGTGTGGCCCACATTTCTTCCAGATGGGAGGGACTGGAGTCCCTCAGTGGCACTGGGAAGGCCACAGTAACAGTCACTAATGTTCTGGATGGCGGGAGATTCATGAAACAGCTCACAGCCCACTAAGCTCTCTCCTGAATGATCCCATTTGTGCATCAGAAGGCAGGGAAGTGGTGTGCCCAAGAGCCAGCTTGGATCGATGGTTGGAGGACAGGCTTTTTAGCACATGAAATGGAAATGGGTGTCAGTCCAGCTCTGTGACACGCTGCGTGTTCTTAGGCAAATCGCTCTACTCTTCAAAAACTCACTTTCCGCACTTGTGAAACATGGCTTAATGACTCAGTATCTCCTCCTCTGTAAGGGGCTACATTCCAAGTACCAAATTCTACAAGGACCCTGTGTTTTCCTATACAGGCACACCCATGATAAAGTTAGCATTTTAAAATTTTCCTTTATTATTATTGTCATGTGTATGCATGTGCCACAGCCCATGTGTGGAGGTCAGAGGGCAACTCTGTGTACTCAGTTCTCTCCTTTTGTCTTTATTCAGGTTCCATGATTGAATTCAGATCTCCAGGCTTGTACACATAGCAAGCACCTTTGCCTGGAGCCATCTTGCCACTCCACCGCGATAAAATTGAATTTGTTTTTGACAAATCAAATATAGAAAGCGACTGATAGCAGCTAATAATGAAATAGAACTGCTGTAGCACTATACTGTAATAAAAGTTACTTTAAAAACCTATGGGGTTCTTTATTTTTGGCATTTTCCATTTCATAAGTTTGAACTGCTGTTGACTAAAATCCCACAAAGTAAAACCATGAATAAGGACTAAAATCTCGCTCACAAATTAAGACCATGAATTCTCGGGGCCCATCGTGCTGTGGTTGGTTTCATCTCTGTGGAGCAATTAGCACAAGGCCAGATGCATTGTACACTTCCTAACTGACTAGTTATGCTCAGCAAATCACTACTGTGCCCACAGATGAAGATGCATGAGCCCACGACATTCGAGAGTCACAGATGAGGCAGCAGGGCACAGTGAGACGTTGTCTGCCACGCAGAACCATGTCTGAATCCTTGTTCTATCCCTGACTAGCCAGGGTAAGGGTGGGGCGGGGCCAGGGAACTTCAGTTCACTTTTTCATAACTTGGCCACAGTAGTGATACCACACTGGAAGGGTTGACTGTGCCCTCTCCCAGTGGCTGTGGCCTCCTATGGGAAAAGGTATTACACATCTGTTTAGGGACTTTAGGGGCCTCAAGATGAGACCATCCTGAATGGACCAAGTCCAGGGATAAGCATTTTCCCACAACAGTGGAGAGGGTTATGAGGACGGAGTCAGCGGGCAGTGATTTGGTCAGGAAACTCTGGTGCTCCCAAATTGCAAGCAGTGTCAAGGAAAGAGACTCACTCCCTGAGCATGCAGAAGGGCAGAGTCCTGCCAGAGTGTCCCCCTTTTTTGCTTTCAGCTGCCACCCAGGAGACAACTTCTGCTGCTTTCAGTTTCATGGTCCATGAAGGTTTGCTGCAGCCCCTTAGGAAGGGAACGCCCACCAGAGCACACAGCAGGCTTCCAGTCTCCACCCTGGGCATCTGAGTGGATGGCAAGGAGGTCATAGAAGATGCTGAGAGCTCGGCCTTCTCTGTGTCCTCATAGCTCTAGAGAAATCCAGTTGCGTGGGCCTTGGTGGCACCAGCAGAGGACTGTGAGTCAGGAAGTGCGGGTAGGTGCCCCTCCTGAGCCAGCTGACTGGCTTGGGGCCTTGCAGCCTCTGAAGGCCGTGTTTGTCTCCTTTTTGTACACCCACAGTGTGAGGCCCTGCTCCACAGAGAAGGGATTGTGAGGGGGCATTAAATGAGACTCCTCTCCCTAGCACTTCCTCCCCGACTCCTCTTAGCTTTCTTGTAGTCGCAGGCTCTGGGAGGAGGCTTCCAGTGTGCTTTGGAAACAGGCTTCTGAGCTGAGATGGCCAGACTCAGGTCAAGACCCTGTCCTGCCTTCTGAAGACCAGTCAGGTGGCCCAGAGAGAAGCGTGTATCTGGAGTTTTCTGTCCTGCCATGTTCCGCAGCTGCCTTGCCCCCAAATAAGCATACAGAGGCTATATTAATTATAAAACTGTTTGTTGATGGCTAGGGCTTCTTTTTGGCTAGGCTCTGTCTTAATTATTAACCCGTAACTACTAATCTATGTATTTCTACATGGCCTTCTTACCAGAGAATGCCCGGCATGTCCTATCCTTCCGGTCTCTGCATGGCGTCTCTTTGTGGTCTCTCTTTGCCTATCTTTCCCAGAATTCTTCTCATCTCCTAGCCCCACCTATCTTCCTGCCTCTCTTGGCCAAACAATGTTTTATTCATCAACCAATAGGAGAAACATATATACAGAAGGCCATCCCCCACCAGAAGGGTGCTCCAGTTCCTTCAAAGACATTGGAGGCCTGTGGCTCAGAGCCCTCCATCTAGGTCAGTCTTACAAGCACCTGTCCCTTGCTACTTGGGCTCAGATGCTTGAGTACCTTGCTGAACATGTGTCTGAGGGATGAGAGGCCAGAGTTGGCCAAGCCATGTGATCACATCAAACCACAGGGATGATATGTGTCTGTCTGGAGGATGGTCACTGTCTTATAACTTACTCTAGGCTTCACTGTGGACTCATGGCTGCCTCGATACCAGTGTTGTGGCTTGGTACAGACACCCTCCAACTGGAAATCCTGAACCTAGGAGGGAGGTGCCAGGCCTGGGCCAAGACAGGCAGGGAATGTGGGGACAAGACATGCCCAAGGAAGAGACTGTGCAGAGTGTCCCTTAAATCCCAAGCTGTGAGTGTGCCATGCTCAGAGCCCCCAGGAATCCAGTGACAATAATGTAACTCAAAATACAAGCCCAGCTTCTCTGGGAAGCTTAGGGCTTGAGGGTCAGGGTTGACTTGTTTCTTGAATTTTCTAAGGTAGGGTGAGAGTCCTCTAGCCTTGGGCCTGCTGGGCTGCTGTCTCAGGGGGCCTTCCCTTGCCACAGAACCTTTTGTGCTCTCCAAATTCCTGTATTCTGCCACCAGATCAGCACCTGGAGTGCGGAGCTGTTTCCATGCCACTGTATCCCACTTGCTCAGGATGGTGACAGGTGCATGACAGAGGCACAAGTTTCTCTTAAATGAATGAAGAAATAAATGAGATCATCAGATGAGCCCCCAGAGACCACTCTCTTGGGCTTCTCTACAATTTGGAGATAACAGTTGGGACAGACACCAGGACAGTGAATACTGAGAATCAAAGCAATCTGGGAGACATAGGCCCTGTGGCTACAGGGACTATGACCTTCACAGGTCTGGGAGTTGTGTAAGCTGCTGGCTCCCTCTGTTCTGGGGGAATGCGGAAATCAGTTTTCAGGGCCAAGTGTCCCTATCTCCACAGCCACCGAATGGATACACACAAGATTATTAGGAAGTCTCTGCCTCCTACCTCCAAACTCAATATTAGCCAAAGCCTGAAGGCCTGGGGGCCATCTGCCATTCTTTCCTTGGGTACCTCTGGGCTTGTTACGAACCAGCAGGTCTCCCTTGGGATCTGGTACATTTGAGAACATGTCCTTTGTGAGAGAGACAACTGTCACACTGATACTATTACTCTGAGGCACAGTTCCTAGGGGACACTGCTGGTGGGAGGACCTGTGATATCAGGGCCAAAACTTCAGGTCACCAGCTTTGTGTGACTCCAGACCCTTCCTCGATCCCTCTCTATCCCATCCTGGCCCCCAGGAGGCTGACTGTGTGGACCAAACTACCAGGGCTCCCAACTCTGGAGGACAGTGCCACTGATAGTTATTCCCAAGGTTTCTCTCTGCCAAGCTGCAAAATGAAGAAGCTGCCACAGTCTTTCCTAAGGGTCACAGCTCTTGCCACTCAGCCCCGTCCCTCCAGCTCCCTTTCACGTGCTCTGCCTCACAGAACCGGAAGGATGTCACTCACACCATAATTTATGCAAGTAGCAATCCTTGAGTTGTACCCTGTGCAACCTCCATAATGCTCTCCGGCCACTGGAAGGGGATCTCATTTACCGTGGTAGAGTGTGAGTCCCTAATATGTGGAATCAGAGGGCAGGAGGGCAAAAGAGGAGAAGATAAGGGAGGTGGGGTCATATTATTTCAGGTTCTGGGCCTGGCTGGAGCAGCCTGACATGGCCTCAGCTCCATGGGAACCGCACACTGTTCTATTTCATCAGATGACTCATAATCCAAAGCCTTTCTTGTAGGGGAAAAAACCCCAGTCAGGTGCACAGTGAATTGTGCTCTAAGGACACACTGGTATTGATTCTCCATGTGTGAGGCTGGGCCTGAGCCCCAGGGGCGCTGCGAGAAGCAGCTCTTTTGGCCGATGGGGAAGGAGGAGTGACAGGAATTCTAGCATCCATTTTTAGCCCCTCTCTGGCTGTGTCTTCCTGCATTCTGGTGAAGATGTGTTCAGCGGCCCACAGATGAACTCTGGATAGACTGCAGGAACACGGGCAGTTCAGCATGTGCTGTGGGGACCAGCTGGGAGGCACCACTCAGTCACAGGGTCAGATGGGAGCAAGGGCTTAAGGGCAGCCCATAGGCAGAGTCAGTGGCTGCATTAGTCATGGTTGAAGGGATTTAGGGCCACCTGTCAGAGGGTACCCTGCCACCTCCACCACCATCTCTGGGACTCCTAGCACTCCAGGAAGCTGCTGTCTTGTCTGGTGAGTCAATCCCTATGTAGTGTGCCCCTGATGCTCCATTCCTCAGGACGGTGCAGAGCTTTTTTAGCTTTTTCAAGACTGGGCCACATACATCACAGGTGGCCTCAGAGTCATCGCACAGCAGAGGACAACCTTGGCCTGATCCTCCTGCCTCTCCCTCTTGAGGGCTGGGATTATTGGTGCGAACAATCATCCTGGGCTCA